GTTTCTCCATACAGGAGGCGTCTTGAAGCTGTCACTGACAACAAAGGCTTTTGTACAAAAAATAATTAGATAAATTTCAGTAAGCGTGTTCAATACTTTTTCCCTGTGCCATTCCACAGTATTACAAATAACTTCATTTCTGGACATTTATGGTTGGGTTGTTACCAACATCTGGTGAAAATTTCATGTCATTAGCACCTCTAGTTATATATTTACTGAGAAAAATGGTGACGTGTTCAATACTTTTTCCCTGTGCCATTCCACATTATTACAAATAACTTCATTTCTGGACATTTATGGTTGGGTTGTTACCAACATCTGGTGAAAATTTCATGTCATTAGCACCTCTAGTTATATATTTACTGAGAAAAATGGTGACGTGTTCAATACTTATTTTACTCGCAGTATCAGCACCGATGTGGGACAGCAGCTCGTTAAAATAACCGCGGTGTTAAACTGGGCTCGGGTCAAAAAAACAGTTTGTCAGCTTGCAGCTCATGGAGTGGTGAAAATCACAGAACAAACCGCCTCTAAGTCATCAGGTGACAATTATCTGCTGTGCGCAACATTCACTTGCTCTTTATTATAAAGCAAAGCAATGAAAACCCTTTTTGGTGGTGTATGTTTTGATTTTTAGAAGTGTTAAGTAAATTTTGTTATTGTTTTTATGCTACTTTGTTGTGTTGGATGTAACAGATCTCTCTTTTAAATGAGACAATGAGTCTCAAGAGATCTTCCTGTGTAAATAAAGGATAAATAAAAAATAAATAAAAAGCCATTTTCGTTATTTTATCTTTATTTCATCAGCCGAAGACAGACCGGAAAAAAACAGTGTGATATGAAGTACCTCAAAGTAATACTTGAGTAAAAGTACAAGTATCTTACTAAAACATTACTTTGGTAAAAGTTAAAGGACTCTTTAGGAATATTAGTTGAGTAAAATTATTAAAGTATCTGTTTTTTGTGTACTTAAGTACTGAAAGTAAAAGTTTTGATTTAAAATGAGCAGTTAGATTTTCTGTAAGGACATTTATTAGGAGGTGACCTCCCCAAAAATGACTGTTGTAATGAAATAATTGATGTTAAATTTAGGATGCACTAGTCCAGCTGTTGCAGTTTATATACACATATCAAGGCTGCACAAAGCTTTTCCCCAAAATGAAAACCTATCTGAGGGCTGCGGCCAAATGTAATAATATAATTCATGAAATACAAATACTTCTTAAGTACAGTCCTTTGATTTGAATGATTCTGTCCTGCTGGAGTGTGACATGATTTGTTTGTGTACAAACTAATACGGTATCAGAATTTTATATATTTATACTTCTCATTCAACCACAGTTAAATTCACTCTATCTTGGAGGCTCAGTTTATATGGATAGTTTTTATTTTTTACAATAACAAGCTGGAATGAAAACAAGCAATAATGAAATAAAAGTAATGACTTTCTACGTTTTGTCTTTTTTAAAAATGTAAGGAGTAAAAGTAAAAAGTAGGATGAAAAATAATTACTAAAGTAAAGTACAGATACCCAAAAATTCTACTTAAGTACAGTAAAGACGTATTTGTACTTAGTTACTTTACAACTCTGAAAAAAAAAAGCCAAGACGCTCCTCCCTCTTCAGACGCCATTAGTCTCTGTCCCAGTCTGAACGTAGAGCGTCCAACTGGAGGCGTTGGGAGCATTTTTGCTGGCGTCCAGTGTGAATGTAGCATTAGTCTTTTGCTACTTTTTTTCTGGGCATCTAGCTTTTAACTATCCTTACGCCATTTTAGTTTTTAGAGGTTTTTTGTTTTGGCCTTTAGCTGCAGTTTTGCTACTTTTTGTTGTTTTATCAGCTCAGTTTTGGCTTGTTGGACATATTTCAGCTGTCATTTAGCTCCTTTTTGTGTTTCAGTGGCATAGAAATTTCCTTTGTTTCTGTAAAGATTTTGTGTAACATAATCAGACACAAACAGCCAAAGGACTTGAAGGACCTGGTCCCACCTGCGAAGCGTCCTGCGTGAAGACGGCATCGAAGCTGAAGGTCTTCTGAGCCGCAGCCGAAGATCGTCTCTGAGACGAGCTTCCGGCCGTCTCACAAAGCGTGAGCTGCTTCTTCCTGCCGTCCACCTTCAGGAAGGACATGGAGTCCGAGGACTCGCCGCTGGGGACCGAGCAGATCCGGACCATCACCCGGACCTGAGGAGGGACAGGAAGTCCAGATCAGAGAGCTTTGTGTGAGCATTTCAACCAAACTCCAGCAGACGGTTAGACCTCAGAATTCATGCTGGGATCAGTCTCAGCTACCTCCACCTCCACATCAGATCAGGCTCTGTCAAACTGCAGCAGTTTAAATGTCAGCTGGAGGAGGCGGCCATCTTGATTTAAGCCTCTGACCTGCAGCTGTGTGTCGTGGATTGTTGTCACAAAGTAGATGAGTCAGCAGTTTGGGTTTAAAGCTGTTTCTTTAGAGTTTTTTTTTATATTAACTGTCTTTTAAATGTTTTTTTAAAAAGCCAGAAGCACCACTTATTGCTGTCAAGGACGCTTCGTGCTGCTGATGCTGCAGCCAGCTGCTGTTGCCACGGTAACCACAGGTGTTACCAGGAGAAAGAGGGAAAGAACAAAAGCAGGATGGAGGAGTGAGGGTCGAACTCAGCTTTGATTTCTCCGGGAACTAAACTTCACGCTCTGCTGGCTACAGTCGTTGTAACTGATTAAAGTCGTTAAGCTTTCAGAGCGATGAAGAGGAGGGTGAGGAAGATCAGGGAGGATAAACGCCAAGTCCTACCTTCCCCATCCCCGGCGTGTCCTTCACCTTCGACCCCGCCCGGAGCAGACATGGTGGGACGGCGGGAGGCGAGAGCTGCAGGGCTCCGCTGAAGCCCCCGGTGAAGACCAGCGGCGGGCCCGGGGCCTCGTCGGGGGGGGAGGAGGGGCCCGGCTGGGACTTCTTCCTGCGGGACAGACTGAGCTTCTGAGCTGCCCTGAAGACACAAAAACAAACAGCAGAGACACAAATGTTACTCCAAAGCCTTGAAGATGCATAAAGTCAGCTGAAAATGTTGTCAAAAAGACAACAGTAGGCTTACACAACAACAACAACAACAACAACAACAACAACAGCAACAACAACAACAACAACAACAACAACGGCTTGTCTGCACCTGACTTATTAATAACCATAAAAATATAACTGCGCCAGAAGAAGAGAAGCACCAAAAACGAAATGAACACATTTAAAAAGATGGATGTTAGAGCTGACAGAGGACAGATACTAGCTTCTTGTTGTTTAAATTGTTTAAAGTATTTTTTTCTACATGAAACTTTTTCTATTTGTCTTAATTGGTATAATTACCTCCACCAAGGGCGAGGTAATGTTTTCGGTCGTGTATGTCTGTCTGTCGTTCTGCCTGTGGACAACATTACTCAAAAACTTGTGGACAGATTCTCAGGATATTTAAATAACTTTAAACTATTAACTTGTCCCGGTGATGATGTCTTTACTGAAGAAAGAAAATATTCATTAAATAAGTTAGCAATTTTTTCATGATCAGAAACAAGAAGTCCATTTACTGAGATTTGTGAATTGTTATTAAATGTTTTATTGTTACTTTCGCCTGTTACTGACTTAATCGTTTCCCATT